ACAGCTTGAAACTCCCTGCAAACCTTCAAAAATGAGGTTCATAATCATATGTTCTGAGTTTATCTTTGGTTGCTAATGGAAACAGGTTATAGAGGAATAGCAGGGGCCTGCAGAGGTGGGTCAGCTGCTGATGTATTACTGGTTTTAAAGTGTTTCTCTGTTAGCTTGACCGTTTCAGACAGTTTAAGGTTACAGAAACCTTTTTCCAAATATTCTGGTTTGTTTGCAAATTGAAGTTTTATAAGTCTATATGACGACTTTGCAGCTGATGATTCAATTTCAATTACATCTTTCATCCGCAGGATGACCAGTGTTTTCTCTTGCATGCTATTTTCATGTTTCATTTGAAAATGTTGAAGATAGTACTAACTTAACCACACCATTCCAACCTTGTTCTGTAACTTAGGGCTGAAGGTTGGTGTTAAATGGACTGCGGGACACCATAGTCTCCCGACCACTTAAAGAGCTTAACATTGCATGCTGACAGTACAAACAGTATGCACACCCATACTGTACTAGAGCATGCAAGGCCAATCATCATATCCATGATCACTCATGCATCTGAGGTTGATCTTTCAGGCACAGTTTGGGGTTCAGTACAAGAACACTCAGCATGGGTATTCAAGGAGATGCAGATTGAATCACTTCTAGTCCCATCTATACGGACCAGCCCATTAAAATATCTTGACACAATACATAGGCACTGATGACCTAGGGGTTAAGTCGTGCCTCATGTACAGAGGCTATAGCCCTCCAAGCAGGGGGCCTGGGTTCACTGGGGCTCCTTTCCTGCATGTCATTCTTTCAGTCTTTCTCCCTGATTTCCAACTCTATCCACTATCTTATCAAATAAAGGCATAAAAGGTTAAAAAAAAAGTTCATCAGAAAGACACACAGGGAAATCTCAAGAATGTAACAGTAACAATACACAGCGGACCTAGAGAAACATGAGGATAATAAATGACAAAATGAAACAGGAACCACTAAAGACTTTATTGAAAAAAAAAAGCAAAGATACACTCAAGGGAAAAAGCCACATAAGGAAGAAAAATACCAAATTAAACAGAAATAAAATTCAAACAACAAAATAAAAAAATACAAAACTAAACAAGAACAAATCATGACGTCTAACCCTTTTAAAGTAGTTGTGGTGCGTGTAAGAGATTTGTATTATGTATTTATGAGTTAAGCTGGATTTCTTGTTGTTTTACCACCTAATTATTTTTTCTAAGATTCTTTACAGGGCTGGTCAGCTCTTCACCATGAGGGATTACAGAAATAAAGCAAGAGGACGTCTCCATGAGGTATTGGATAATGCTCTCTGTCGATGCTCAGCACAGCCTCGTCACTCACTTTTTGTGTGACTACCTCCTAGGTGCGCGCAACCATTATTATGGTGCCGACAGACTCACTGAAGCCTGGCTGACGTCACGCTACGCAGCTGTATTGTCGCAAAGACGTGAAGAAGAAAACTTGATCAGAAATGGCACAGAGCTCAAAGGATGCTCAAAAACAGGAGGAAAAGAAATCTGTTTAGAGAGATAGAGAACATTATGTTCCCAGACTCTCCCAGGCTATTATTCTCCACCAAAGAAAGGCAATTTGATGAGGCAAAAGGTGTGAGGAGCTGCTTCAGATGTGACCACTGTGTCTCCAAGGGGGATTTCTATTCCCTTTCTCAACCCCCCAGCTGTTAATCTCCTTCCTCTCCAGAACTTAATAGAGTTCATACTTGTTAAAACTGGATGCAGGGGGAGAGCTGAATGGGTCAGAGCATCCTGGTGAACAGTACTCTATGGGGAGCATGAGTGTGAAAGTAATACTGAAATTATAGAGCATGTCAGACGAGTGTCACTCCAAGAAAGATATAAGCTTCACACCAGGAGTGTTATTCAACTTTTGATAGAATTTATATATCACCACACAACAGTAAAAGAGAGGAGAAAATGATACATGCCTTTAGTAACATTTAAACCCAATCAATACATGACAATACAATTAATTGTTACTCGTTTTTATGGCTGTCAACTGTCAAATGAGAAGGCTGGGAGGATTCTGCAGCTTTTTTTTAAAAATTCATTTTCCCCTTCTGTTCACCGTGTCTTTGTTAATTTTCTCTTTGGCTTTGCTGAAGAGGAAAAAAAACATGCTCAAAGTGACTTTTCCATGAGCACTTCACCGGTTTCAACAGCTGACATTTGAGCACAGCTTTAGCTCTGTTTTCATTTGTCGAAAAGACAGTCACTTCTTCTGTCATGTGCTGGAAGTCTGATATAATAGAGTGTAATGTTCTACAATAGATTCAGTTTTAAATCTGTTTCAAATTGAGAGTTAATGTGGCAGAAAAAAGAAGACATTCATCTTCAATTTAAAGTTCATTTTCCAAGGAGAACTGTGGTGATTAAAAATGAAAGCCAGAGCTGAGCTGAAATTCAGCCTCAATATATAAACTTGGAGGAGCTAATGAATGTAGTGGTGTATCTGGGCTGATAGGTGAACAAAGTCAGGTGATTACCTGAGGGGAATTCTACATTTCTACAATCTACATTTCATTTGGCTGACACTTTTATCCAAAGCAACGTACATCAAATTAAATGAAAGGAAAACATAAGCAAGGAACAAGAGAGGAGGAGAAAACATCAGTAAGTTCAAACAAACAGCTGTATGACTGATCGGACACACAGGTACTGATGACAGAGGAGGCTATTTTTCTCTCCCATTCTCTTTTAAATTATAAATGGTCTCTTTGAAACCCATTATGTGTTAACAAGGGAAGGGAACAAAGTTAGAAAGAACAGATTTGAACGTGGTCAAACATGTATTTTTGTCTTATGTGAGTGCATGTGCAGATATGAAGTAGCGAAAGTGTTACTATTGGATGAAAATATGTTTTGCTTTTGCATGATTGTATCAAGGCCTTAAACATTTAACATTTAAAAAAAAAAATATTGAAATACATGTGCTCATTTGAATATGGTGTTGCAACTGTACCTGCCTGACCAGGCATTTACTGCTCACAGACCTTAACGTATGGAAATGTTTACTGAAATGCCTATCTGCTATTGTTTACATTAGTTTCTTTCATGCTATGCTGCTGTAGTAGCACCAAACCTGACTGTGCCATCATCAGCTCTGGATGCAGTTTTATGCACTCCAAGAGGTCATGCAGATATGATTCAGGCATGTGGAGTTTAAAAAAAAAAAAAATTTTAAGGGATCATGTTCGGCTTCTCTTGTGTTTGCTGTTACTTTGCTTAACAAGTAAAGCTAAACTTGTTTAGCCCTTTCTTCAAGTCTGAACACAAATGACGATACAAACAAAAAAGTCAAGAAATTCGTCTGTGCAGCAACATGTGGCTGTACATTTAGGAGGTCTTCTGAGCACCCACTTCATTATACATTGGTAGGCATACTGTATCCTGCACTATGAAGGTTTTCACATATTCTTCTCTCTGCAGCTTGTTGTTTCGTGAATGTAAAGTAGAGCGGAATAAGCATGTTGTATCACTGAAACTGTGTCTCTCACATAAACAGCTTGTTGACACTACTTACTGCACCACACTCACAATTTCTCACAAAGTCCTGACTGAGAGCTTCTTGTAAAACAAGTGAGTCATCCATACAGATGCAACATTTTTGATTCAACAGAAGTGGCAACAAAAAAAAGGAAATCCATTTCCATGATACAAGCTGGAGTTATAGATTATCTAATAATTCATCATATTCAAGTGTGTCCATGCCTAACGTTTATACTGCTGCCAGAGGCTTTCCTGAGCAGGACATGTGCTGCATGATAATCTGTTCTCATTGCACTTTGCAGCACTGTCAGATTCTGCTCGTCTCTCTTTTGGTGGCTGACTGCCACTGTGTGGTCATAAATATTTAACACAATTCTGCGGCAGCAGTCATCTTTAAACTCTAACTTTACAAGCATCAGTAATTTAATTCCTTCTTCAACTTATCAAACAGTATCAGTAATATTATACACTGTAGGAATGACTTAAAGATCAATTGGGAAAATGTAATCTGGGTCTCTCATTGTTTCCATCAAAAAAACCTAAGAACCTTTCCACCTGAACTCTAATCTTGTCTCGTGGGCAAAAAATTCAATCTGCCTCAACGAAAACAATTTTGTTGCACCAATACCTCAGCCTTCATCATCCATCATCACAACAGAAAAAAAAGCCTTGAACACTCTCTGATAAAAGCATCTTCTGCAATTGTACTCTTATTCTGAGCCCATTTTTGTTGTTTAATGGTGTACTTTGCTCCATTGCCGTGAAAGGGGGTGTCACTGCATGACAGTTTGGCAGACATGGAATCAGGTTTTGACATTTAGAGTGTGGCTAAAATGGTTTTACATGTTCTTTTAAAACATCAACATTTGGCTTATTTCAAAATGAAATTGGTCAGGGGCTTTTTTGTAGAGCTTTTATATATACCAACCATCATGATGGAAGTCATACCAGAAATTATGTAACAGATTGGCATAATCATACTCAAACTTGAAGACTTTCCCTGCATTCAAATCCTCCTTGGATCCTAGAAGTTCCTTAGCTAAAGTAATTCTTTAATCTCTTGTGTTACAGTTTAAATGTGCTATAGACAAACTTGCCTTGCGTTACGTTGCAATTTTACGTAATTTTGCATTTTGTTTTATTTATTTGCTCGTAGGTAAACAATGTACAAATAAATGATATGTTCCTGCGTAATATAATGTATAGTCTGTCTACAACGCAAGTCTGATACCAAAATCTTCTCCAAAATTTTGAGTTGCTGTCCAGACTAGAGGGATGTACACATTAAGTGCAATTTCCCATGCAGACACAATTTTTCAATGGATCAGAAATCAGCTGAATGCTGGGTTTAAGATGCATTTCCACTAAGGACGTTAGTGATCATGGATGTCCAAATCTTAAGTCCGTAAGTGTTTATATGGTAATACAGACTTCTCAGCACCAACATGCACAATTTCTGTACATTCACATATTCACATATTCGCAGACTTCCCTGTAGGACTGTGACAGGTTTGTCCTTAACTTCAAAAGTGCACAAACCGATCAGGTAGGAATTTCATGAGAAGTTTATGTGTAAATGAAAATACATGTTGCAGGATTGTAGAGTTGAGAGTATTCTCAGTAAAATGTCTTCATATAGGATTTAAAAAATGCTCATGGCCTTCCTGACTTATGGTTGTCTCTGAATTAGTAATGTAATCTCAAAAAAAAATTACATTTTCAAGAGGTTGCTAATTTCTCTGAATGTCTACACAGGTTTTGAGTGGGTGTCTGTGAAAGGACTTTGCCATAACCTGATATAATAATGATATTGGTTCTAATGTGTTCTGTCTGCTCTTTTTAACCTTGAATTTGTATTGTATGTATCTATTGGAATGCTGAATCTCCTCTTTGCACAACAAATCTACCTTTCTAGGTACCAATAAAGAAACATTGAACCTTGAATCTTGAGTTCTCCTGAACAAAATGCAGTATAGTCACATACAAACACAGTGACACCATTATGTTTTTAAGAAAATAGTTTGATGGCTGTATTTATATGTTCAAAATAGCACAATTAATTTCAGGTAAAACGTTAGCTTTCATTCTCATAGAGTTGTTGAGAAGTATTCTGGGAGCAATAGCTACTTTACACCTCAAAATGCAGTTGTAGGGGCCGGAAGTAAACAAAAGTACAGTAAATATGAATGCTAAAGACATCTCACATTTTAAATATCTAACAATACAAGTTGAGACAGGATATGTATGCTTTAGTTGAACATATCATGTGCTGATGAAACAGGCAGCACGCTGCGATGGTATGGAATCCCATACACAGGGCTCATCCCTGCATGCTGAAAGCTCTGCACCTTGCCAAACTGGCGCAGATGGAAGAGCAGGGTGAGTTTTCGTGTCATGGTCCTCAGCGCCAGGAAAGAGGCCAGGATCTCTGCAAATAGGAAGAGGAGGTAGAGGGAGTGGACAGCTCTCTCCAGTGGCAGGATGATAATTCCTTCATCAGTCACGAAGAACAGCAGCACTGGCAGCTGGAACAAGAAAGACAGGAGCCAGAAAGCTGCTAGCTCTGGCACCTGATGACAGCGAGGAAGAGGGGGCAGAGAGAGTTTAGGCTGTAAAGAGTGATGTGAAGATAAGGCACTCAGGCATTCAACATGTTTCCACAGATTCCCTCTAACATCGGGCTTCAAGTGTGAAGCTCAAATGCTGTAAAACAATGTAGTGCTGTCTTTACATTATATGGTATACTATCTTTTCATACACGTATAAAAAAAAACATAAGTTGGCCTATTTTATACAACAGCTGAACTACATAAGTTGGCTAATGGCTAATATCACAGTTGAAATGCCTAAATGTACAACAGGAAAAGTGTAAACTAATGGTAGAGGAAGTGACACAATTTGATAAGGTTAGATGATGTCTGAAGCAAATAAGCTATATGCAGTTTTTTTTGACTACTTATTTACCCTAAAACACTTTAAAATGTTATCTTAGAAATGTACTGCTTAGTAGCTTAGCGTAATGTTAGGAATTAGCATAATGTATGCACGTCAAATATGCTGTTTTTTTTTTCAAATCTAAACACTGCCTCAAAATCTCTAAAAAAAAAAATATTAGCATTCCTCTGCTTTCTGGCTAAAAGTGATATAAGCAAGGAGTTGGCTGAATGCTTACATTATCTGTTGTCTGAGGGAATACATGGGTCATCAAATATGTCGTTTAAGCTTAAAATATAGCCTCTGGGTTTTCACTGTTGATTGTCTGATTTAAAAAAATATATATATTTCACATACTTTATTAATCTCTGAGGAAAATGCTGGTTTACCCGCTGTTATTGAGAGACATGGCTCTCACACACATAGGCCTGAAATACTGACACAAAAAGGACCTGTAGACATGCATTAATGGGGAGATGTCAGAGTGGGGCTGCTATTGCTACGCAGGGAGCGCGGCCGAGCTGTTGGGGATTCTGTGCCTTACTCAAGGGCAACTCAACAGTACTTGGGAAGTGACCTGGCACCCCTCCAGAAATAGACCAACTTCCATATGTTGATGTGCCCTTAGTTCCTTCAGACTGAGCTACATGCCGCCCCCAAATATAATGCAGATGCTGCTAATATTTTGATCAAAATCAAAGCATAGTAATGTTAATTTAACACACCTTTACATCCAAACTCATTCACAAAAACCCTACAGACCATTGTAGCCAGCAGAGTGGTTGCACATGATACTAAAGCAGCCCCTTGTGTTATTCAGGAGTGCTGATAGAGCTCTGCATTGTGCCTCGGACAGGATCTAGGTTTAACTTACCTTCTCTTTAAGGTTGCCAATGTAGCCGAGATAAAGCCGGACCACCTCAATGACTGTGAGGAGGATCATACCAGTGATGAGCAGAGCCTGGTAGTACCCCGGAAGATAATAGAACTGGGAGTAAAGTAAAATATTATAAACAAAGACGTATCAAAATTGTACAATGAACCTAATAATGTGATTGTATGTCATCTAGGCCAGTGGTTCTCAACTGGTGGGTTGGGACCCAGAAGTGGGTCTTGGAGTCGTTTTCAGGGGGTTGCGACTGTGGGCCTTGAAAAAAAAAAGTGTTAAAAAGTCTAAAACTCACTTTTTGGTTTTGTTTCATCTCTTTGTTCTATCATTTGTTTGGACAGTCTGAAGTTCAAATGGCACCATTTTTCATAAAACGAATCTCATTGGTTAAAAAATGAGAAATTTAGGTTGTGATTTTCTATTAAGGAGCTGGTGGGTCCTGACCAGTTGAGAACCACTGATCTAGGCTACCCCTTTAATAAGTCAGTGTGAATCCAGGACAGATAAGAAACAGTATTTTTTTTTTCCTTTTGTGGGGACTCCAAACTCACCTTCACTTCCAACATGAAAACAGCAGAAAACCACCAGCAGGGAAAATAGAACATGTTGAAGTAGAGCATCATCTGCAGGGGAAGGTGAGAAACAAGCTCGTTGACCACTGCAAGGCAAAGACAGTCACATATTTTTATTAGTAACATGTTTCACTATCATGAACAATCAAGTGTTTTTTTTTTCTTTAAAAAAAACTCACCACCACAGATAGGTTAGTTTTTTTTTTTATTAGACATGATCTTAATATAAAACACAATTAGAGATAATGCAGAAAAATGTACATAGATCATATAGGAACTAATTTTAAATTTAATTCAAATAAAGCAATATTCAGCTAAAATCAGGAAATCAGTTCATTTCCATGTCGTTTTTAATGCAGCATAATATAAATTTACATTACACTATGGATAACAAAGCCTTTGCTTACAACATCCAACTCTGTCCCCTCTCATTATCAACTGTTAATACAATGTTGATGTTTTCAAAGCAGATTTGAGTAGTGGTCACGTAATTATGTTTACCCCTCACTGTCAGTTATTTGATATCACTGTTTGGTTTTGGTTATAAATAAGCAGATATATTCCCTCTCTGTGATCACAAATCTATATCATTGTAGAGCAGCACTCTAGTAAATAACCAACCATTGGCGTCCTCCTGCTCCCTGCTGAAGTCGCTGTCTGCCGTCCTGTTGTTGGTGAACACTGAGCCTCCCATGTAGCTCAGGCCCAACTGCAGGTTCTCTGGAACAGGTGAGTAAAACACAGGCATGGTGGGTAAAGCAGCTGACCATGACCAAGCCAAAGAATCAGGAAACGCTAGAGTCCAAAACTCGGTTTGTGCCTCAGACTCTGCTGCTAATCCTCGCTGTGTGTTCAATCACACAAGGAGACAAATGCACGAAGGCACAGATACAAATGGACACACACAGACGCATGCTGGCAGACACCGCTGCTAATCAGATTATAGTGTGTGTGTGTGCGTGTGCGTGTGCGTGTGTGTGTGTGTGTGTGTGTGTGTAGGCGGTGGGGGGGGGGCTGGATTAGGATGAGGCAGCAGGATGGCAGTTTGTAAGGAACTAAGAGGCCATTTATGATGCTCAGTCAATATGTTTATCTAATTATAGAATTTGACAGAAATGTAGGCTTCACAGAGATTAAACAGAGGACAACATAAAACCTGAACAATACATAATGGTTGCACTATCATATTTTAATTATTTCTTCACACAATGTTATTACATTTTTCCTCATTTTGATTTTAACATTTTTTTTATTTTTTTTGGTATGGCTGACGATTTGATGCAAAGGGACTGACCATTAGAATAAACCGTAGAGCTAACACCGGCGTATCTGTACACAGTAAAATCAGCAGTGTTAAATATGCAGTCACAAAGTTCTGATGCTCTGTCAGAGTTATTCTAACAACAGCTTGAGTAACATGCACCCCAGTGTTGGTGCAAAATTGTGGAGTTAAAAACGCAGAGTAAAAAAAAAAAAGTAATCCAGTAGGCCATGGTGTTGAAAGTAAATCACTCTGAAAGCCATGACGTACTCTGAGAAGCCACGCCCACTACTCGTGTTTCAAACACACCAGGAGGTTCACTGACTGAAAGACTGAAAGACTGCGGTAAGATGCTCCCAATTAATAACCAATTTTCAATTTCAACACAAGCAGTGTTTTAGGATGTCTTAATATTTATGTTCAATATACACTCCACCTGAATATTGGGTCTTAGTGTACGGGAGTTTACCGAGTGGATGGCTAGCTTAATTGTGCAAGTGATAATATTAGTACTGATAATAATACTACTTACATGCACTAACTAAAGCAAAACTCGACAATATCAGCAAGAGGTAACGTAAATGATGTTAATGGGGAGCGATGAGTGGGCTTTATTATTTGGAAAGCCACACAGTCAAGTCAATTAGCTGATACTGCACGTGTGGGGACTAAACTAGCCAAGGTGAGCTCGACCATGAATCCCAAGTTAACGTTTGCATGCGCGGGTAGTACGAGGTGAACACGACCGTAAACATGAGCGCCCACACATACAATTTGTTACTGAATTATATTGGTTCACTTTGGCTTGTTTAGCCGAATATTAATTCCTCAGAGTGGCGTTACGTGAACGCTAACGCTAAATGTTATGCAGCCCTGCCTAATGTGTGACAGCATTGTGTTTTAATTTAACTTAAAAGTGTTGTTTGTTAATGTAACGCTACAACAGTTGTTGTTATAGACACAATTAATACAAAAAAAATTAAATTTTTCAAAGAAATTATCAAAGTCACATCTATTATTAGGTCCGACGTCACCGATTCGTCACTGCGGTCAAGCCAGCCGCTCCTCGAGTTTACGTGGTGACGTGACCCGCCCCTAAATGTGAAGTGCCCACGTATTCTGATCTTTACGGTAAATGCTCCGGACTGCAGAGCGAGCAGGAGGAACAGACAGAGAGAGCGATGACGTGGAGTGCTGAATGCCTAGGTCTTACATTAAACTGGCTATGAGATACACGTGTATGAAACGGGAGTAAACAGAATACAGTACAGAGAATAGCTTCGGAGGTCGGGGAAGTTAGTGTGAGAATAATTCTGCGAGTCTGCGGTAACTTCCGTTTTTCAAAATAAGGTGTTCACAATTTAAAAAAAAAACAATTTTCTTATTGAGAAAACAATAATTATATATATTTTCTTACATAAGTAGACAATGATTATGTAAGAATGTAAGTTACAGCTTCCTTTAGGGGGTCGCCCTTTTTTTGATTGTTAATTTTCTTAGGTGTGTTTACTGTCAATTGTCCAAGATTATTTTATTCTAAATGACTATTGTCTGTTCCTTTTTTACAGGTAGTTGAAGCTGCAATGACAGCAGAGTAAGTCTCTTCCTGCCTCATGTGACCTTGCAGAGCTGATCTATTGTGCAGAAGCTGCATCAGATGAAGAGGAAATGGATGACACCCTTGCCTCTGGTAGATTTATTTAATTTTTCAGCTGTAGCTTTAAAGCAATGTTTTTGAATTGTAGCTTATAAAAACATATAAAATTAAGCTAATTTGTTTCTGTTAACAGGATGGGACAGTGATCTTTCCTCCATTATCCTCCTCCTCCACTTGATTCCACCTTTAGCCCAAGGCCATAAAAGACCAGGCGAGGTGTCTGCATCTCAAGCTGAGAAGCATCTCGTCATCTTCAAGAAGGTTTGTATTGTAGCTTTTATTATAACAAAGTTTTTTTGATTTTTTTGCTTGTCCATTTTTCTTTTCTGTTTGTATCTCATGTATAAAATTGTTTCTTGTGTAAAAGTAGATTACATCAAAAACGTATCTTAAATTATCTCATATCTTACACCTTTTTATATACTGTACCTTAAGTGATCATTCTAAGACCTAACAAGATTTTTAAACCTATTAAATCTAATTCAAGCATTTCATCTAAATCTAAACACATTTTTATATCTTCAGAGTGGAACAAGCCTCCAGGAACATGTTGACCCTATCGAGAGCATCACTCAGCCCTATCTACTTGCCGTCAGGATGAAAAGAAGCACCATCCATGAGTTTTTCCATCGTCCTGGACAAACAGGTCATACCATGCAAGTCAACCAGTTCTCTTGGAGCTTTTGATGAACTTCTTCAAGGTACACTACGTATTTGGTACCAATTACAATCACATGCTTCACAACAACATTTCCATGCATTTAAAGTCTTGTTAAAGCCATTCCAGGCTCTTAAGGTGTCTGATGTTCAAGAGTTTTTCTACTTCAAACCAGTGGATGTGCAGATGTCATATGGACCAACAGATTCCTCCCTTTTTGTCGTTCCATATTGTCATTAAATGCAGCTTTAAACAGTGTGTTTAGTGTCAAAGCAATGTTGACAGCGTTTTTGTATTTCTGTAGTGGAGTTGTCCACATGTTTCCAGATGTTTACATTGCAGACATTTTCTCTGGAGGATATTTAAAGTAGCAAGATGACTCCAGTAAGATAGCCAAATAATCTGGCTGTTGTGAAGTTTTCTTTCTAAACTCCAACTGAAATACTTGATAAAAAGTCAGTCATTGTATTGATAGTCACCATTCAGGAAATAAACAGTTGTTGACTGGCTGAGGTAATCCTGCTGTCTTGTATCCTCCCTGTGTTGTCTGAAAATACCTTTTTGTTTTTTTGTTAAAAATGTTTACATGTTGTGATGTAACGCATTGTCAGAATGCTATTGCACATGAAAAAAGAAAATTGACACTTATTTTAAATTGATTAAACCTTGGGATTTAATGTTTGTGTTTAATAAATTTCTAATAGAAATTGATATAATTGTGTGTTGTTGTTTAAGTCTTACTTGGGCATGGAAAGACATGCAATTGAATTGTATTTAAGAATTACACTTAAAGGGAGTGAAAAAGCAGTTATATTTTGACACTGGCAGGAGTCATTTTAAAAATAAAGTTTTGAGAATAATTTATTAATCAACACTGAGTGTGATGTACTTTTAACACTCAAGGAGTTGATTTAGAAGAGTAAATTATGATTAACACTTAATTCCTTCAGTGTCAAATGTAAGTTACATTAGGGGTGTTATTTCCCTCGTAGTGTAAAACTTGATTAACACTTCTCAGTGTAGAATATTAACTCTTACGAGAGTTGAATTGACTCTGAAAGTTCAACACTATGTTGAGTGTTACTTTAACACTGTAGATAGGGACCATATGTTCACTGACTCTGTTAAAATTGACTCTTTAAGTGTTGTATCAACACTGCTGATTTTACTGTGTATCTTTTAGATGTTGAGTGTCCCTTTCACAATAAAAAAAATAGAAGGGAAATTATATTTGAATCTTAAATATTGTACTTATAAATAGTTTAGATTCTATCAACTTGACAACACGATGTAAAACAGCTATCAATGGAAAATCAACCTTTTGGCATACTTGTTGGGTGTGATCTGTTTTGCATCTGATTTATGTCGGCTGCATTGTTTCTGTCAAACTGAGAAAAAAAAGATAAATATCCTTTCATCAATCTTTTAAAAACATTTTTTTGCAATCTTTTTTTATTATCTATTAGCCCCCTTCTTCCTTACTTATGAATGATGACTGACAACTTCATGCAAAGACACTACTGAATAAATTAGTCTTTAGATTACCCAGTTACATAAACATGTGTTTAATGTTGATTCATTTACAAGGTGACTTTTCAAATACAGAAATTAATTAATTTAAACACCTGTAAAGCTGTCGCCCTGTATGGATAAATGTCATTTAGATTTCTGCGTAAACATTCCCTATGTTCTGCTTTGTTTTCCATATACCATAACGGTATAGAATGTATGAAAGCAGGCACACTAAATGGATTAATCCACACAGTCATTATCATTTTATTTGTATTTTACAGCCTTTAAATTTTAATCTAGCATATGAACACAGTGACACAGCAATGACTAACACTGCACGCTGCACACGGCCAGCGACTCTTCAGAATGGTGCCTGGCTTCATGTCAAGGCCTTGGAGCGCCACTCGTCATTAATGCGGCCTTGGTGCAGTAGCGATGTTTGGCCACAGGGTGTCATCACAGCTCGTCCTTGATAGCACGCAGGGGGAAGTGCTGGAACTCCTCTGGCACCTCTTCCCCTTTCTGGGACCTCTTGTAGAAACCGAGTGATTCTAACAGGCTGCTGATCTCGTCTGCCTTCATCTTCTTCACTGGAACAGTCTGACGTGTCCAGAGAAGACACACAAATACAAACACACACAATGTTGAAAGCAGCACTTTAAAATTCAGTGTGTGCAGAAAAGTGTGTATTTGTAGACAAACAGTGTGTTCTGATTCATATTAGTTTATGATAAATCAATTTGGTTTCACAAGAATTTGATATTTATTAAAACTTGTACACTGCTGTGACACATTTGTTTTCATGTCTTAGCTCAGTAACTTTGCCTCTGAGGTAATTCTTCATTTAAAGTCAAATTGCAGTCCCACGGCTCCCACATTATGAAACAATAAATGAAAACAGCTAACGCAAGGCACTGAATTTGACAAAGACAAATTCCCACATGAGCTTCAGAAGGGGGGAACAATCAGAAGAGAAGAAATACTTTTACTTCACAATCACAAAAGGCGCTCTTGTGCATTTGGAAGAGACACTTAGGAAAAGCAAGACTTTTATTGTCAGTTTCATGGTCTAAATGAAGGTTTAGGAGCCGTCCCAAGATGTAGGGGGGGAACAAAGCCCGTGGGAAACTCTTAAGAGTTGTAATTTAAAGGCATAAAAGTGTTCTTTCTCATATCAGTATTCATACCAAGTATCCAGTTTCAGCACTAAAACATATTTTTCAGCTGTCAGAAGCCCTGATATATACACTCTCTGACTCCTTCTTTCTCACCATTTGTGTTTTTTTTTTTTACTCTGTCTCACATTCTCAAATACACTCAGTCTTGACTTTTTATCTGACAGAGGACGTGACATCAGATACAGAAAGTCTTAAAAAGCTGCCCACATGAATGTGTCTCGTCTTTCTGGCTCTCCACAGATAAACTCCAGCGCAAAGCAGGAGAGGAAAAGATCCCCAAACTCTCGTCTCACCTTTACCACCTCATCTTTTTCATTATAGAAGATCAGACGGGGATTCTTCTCCTCCGATGAATCGTACTCCAAATTGTGGCTGAACGCGGGAAACAAGGGATCAAGGGGAACAACAGGTAAACAGTGGAGAATGAAAGCACTTCCATCTGCTTGGCTATTTTAAACTCACTCACAAACATGATTTCAACTTGGACCAGGAGAGTTTTTTGGAAAGCTCTCAGAGCTGGCAACAGATTTGGCAACTTGCTGAGAACATTGTTTTGTTTATGAAAGAGGTCATGAGAAAGTCTGTGGCGGTTTTTTTTCTGTTAAGGAGAAGTAAGGTTTTACCAACACAAGAGCATAAGGATACTATAAAGCCGAGCGCTCCAGGAGGAAATGATGGAGCTCTGGCATTTTCTTTATGCCTCATCCGACCACACTGGGAGCCTGCAGGGACAACAACACAGTTGAAACAGCATGACAAATAATGATGATCAAAGTGATCAAAGTGGCCAGAAATAGGATTGGTATCTCAGGATACACACACATATGACAGTACACAGCTTACCCGTCTTCTTAACCAATCCCCCATTTGCTCACTAACTCCTATTTTAACTGTCTCCATTGTCCTCTTTTCATGTGGAGGCCTTCCTTTAATTTCAGGTACTGAGCGTATTGCTTATGTATCTGTTTAGTGTATAGGGACAGAGCATCTTGATGAAAGTCAGCAAAAAATGAACTATTTGAATTTAGCGAGAATGCTTATTTGATCCATTGTCTTTGTATGGTAACATAAACAGAACACTTGGGGTAAGTAATAGAAGTAATAGAATACACGATATAAAAATATATAGAAATACAGATTTACAAAAACAAAAATAAACCGAGATTCATTTGAAGATAAAAAGTATGACAACTCTGATTTTCCTAAAAGGCTGTTGGAGAGTGCTAGAACATTACACCCCCAGAAGGCCTGCTTGTAGTGCCATAAGTCCCTAAAAGTAATATGGGAGGTAGAGCCCCTCTCCTTTGGAATCATACACCCGTCAAGTTCTGGCAGGCAGGCACCCTCTCTACCTTTTAAGAGTAGGCTCAAAACTATCCTTTTTGATAAAGCTTACAGCTGGGGTCCCGAGTTACCCAGCACACTTGTTAAATGTTGCCAAATGCTGTGCTCACAGTGGGTTAATATTGGGTCTTTGTCAATTTTTATAACAAATAGAATGGTCTAGGCTTGACTTGTAAAGTGACTTGAGATAACAATTTGTTAGACAACTAAAGATTGATTGACTGATTGTCTGGTGTGGGCTATGTAGACACCAATGTATGTAGACACCAACGGGTAGTCTAATCAAATTTAGACCCCCTAAGTGTGGTGCACCTATATCGCATCTCACAGCCCCCTGTAGTGGTGGATCTAATATCATTGTCTGCTAAATTTATAATGTTTTTATTCAAATAGAGGAAGACCATGCACATCTTCGCTGACAAATCCAGATTCAATTTTCTTCCAGGTTTCTCCTCGGGTTCTAAAGATGAATACATCACTTTTTTAGAGAATGTTATAATGATGAAAGTTAAGAGTGTTCTAGTCAAAAAGGTGTTTGGCTTTTTAGTGAAGTATTGATTTAACATCCAGAATTTTGTACACTTAATTTCTTATATTTAAACAGTCTCCTGAAAATTCAAAATCATGAAAATGTAACATTTTAAAGAGATTCAAAAGTTGACATCGGTTTTTATTTTTTTACTCACCATCAGTTTCCCTCTGGCTATCACAAGCTTTTCTTCAACCGCGGTGCCATTTTTAATATCTGTTGCATTAACAGCAAGGGCCAGAGCGATACCCAAATAGGCCCACATTTTAACGACTAATTCCTACCTTTGAGTGATTTCTCCTGAGCTCTAACCATCAATATGTAACCCATTAAATCCACTTGAAGGTTTTCTCACTTTGGACAAGACAATGATGCATTTCAACAGGGGAGCAGTGCCTTCCTGTGTTTGAGTTTTCTTAACCCGTTTGTGCAATCGTTCTATTAGAAATGCTTTACAATCATGGTAAGCAAACTATGTTCATGCATGTTATTCTTTATCTTTAGTCTTATACTCATTGAGCTGTTTTAATCTCCCAAAAGCCATGCAGAGCCCCCCTGGTTTTATAGTTTATAGTTTCTTCCACATCAGATGTCATTGAGGGTCCACAGAACCCACAGAACATCTGCACTCTTATCACTTTTTCCCACGCAGTGAGCAAAGCATGCAGGTGGTTGATGGTTACTGCGAGCCAGAAACATACTGCCCAAAGCTGCCCAAAAAACATTTTTGTCACACTGGATTTGTACAGGTGTCCTTATGGCAAAGACGTGTCCTTATGTTGTCACTTTTAACAAAATAATCATTGAAGAAGACTAACTGGACTTTTGTACAAAAAGGAAAATATCAGGGGTTGCTTTCCTATAAGTTTCTTATAGGAAAGCATAAAGCAAACAGGATAAAGACTGGGTTAAATTTGGATCTTTTCTCGTCTTTAACTCAATGATTTGTTTTTGACTAGTGTTGATGACAAATTCCAAACAGCATTTCACATGTTTACTTTAGGATTCTTTGTGAGTAGACTGTTTCGGAGGTAGATGAGAAGATCTAAACTATGCACAGTCAATGAAGGCCTTTAACGAAACATAAAGGCAGGAAACAGTCTGAGTTGTAAAGATTATAAATGTGCCTGTCCAGCATTCTAAAATCACTCCATTCACATATTGTATCTTTGCTACTTTGATATGCAAACAGCAATAGAAAAACAAAACAAAATATTATTTTATGGGGCGCCAATAGCCAGACACTGAGATTTCCAACAAGCTTGTTTTGAACATGTGTTGGGTTGAGCAGGGACTCTCCACAGAAATTGTTGTTGATAAAAAATAAAAAAGAATTACCGCGCTGATAGGACCAACAACATCTGAACAGCACTAACTCTTCGTTGCTTGTTACACTGAACATGAAACAGAAAATCATGTTATTAATAACCACAAACCATTAGTGTGTATGGTTTTTATTTTATCTTATGTCTTTCTTCTGTTTCGAGTTAACGGTCTGTGATGTATTAAGAATAATCTTTGGACTCTGTGCTCATATGAACACAGATGGCTGTCAAGATGCTACAAAGATTTCACTTAATCAACAAATATAGTTTTTTTTTCAATCATTCATAGAAAGTGCTTTCACTTTCAAATAGATTTGTTGGTTAAAGCAGTTTCCTTTGAATTAAGAACAGGATCAAATGTTTTTTTGAAGGTTGGCTTGACGATTATTGGAGTCTAGAAAAGAGACTTTTGTACCCTCGTGGCCTTGAAAGGTAAAAGAAGTTATCAGCCAATCTGAGCATGTTCTGTCCAGTGAAGTGTCCCTCAGTGGAACAAACCGCTATGCAGTCTACTTACCACCAAAAGTAGAAATTTAAAAGGATTTTACATGCTTTAACCTCATCTGTTTATCTAAACTATAGCAAAATGTTCATGTTATTAACTGCTGCCTGTTTCCTTGTATTCCAGTAACGTTTTACTGTAAGCCTCTACTGTGAGTTTGAAGTGTGCAGAGTGTGAGCTACAGATGAAATGCTCTAGATCAGTGGTTCTCAACTGGTGGGTCGGGACCCAGAGGTTGGGCACAGAGCTATTTTAAGTGGGTCTCGAAAGTGTGCCTGGAAGAAAAACACGTGTTAAAAAAGGTCTGTGAAGTGCTTTTTAAACACGTTCTTTTGTTCATTTTTTTCGCTTCAGTCACATGTTTTGTTCTGACTTAGGTCCAAAATGCACAATGTTTGAGTCGGTACAAATCATGAATTTGGGTTGCGATTTATCACAGAGGAGCTGGTGGTGGTTCCTGAGCCTAGATGAGTTGAGAACCACTGTCCTAGATCATTTAAATGTTATGAACTGTACAGTATGTACTCCATGATATGCTGTACTGCTCCAGAAAATATATTTTAAAAACAATTAATAATAATAGCTGTAAGGATGTATGTTTGCCCGCCTGCAGCAGCAGCAGAAACAAGCTAACAGAACACTTCTGGATTAGCATCTCTACATTACATATGGTGAAGTTGTCAAACAGGGGCTTATTAATACATCCAGATATGTAACATTTATTGGGAGACATTTTTCTGTCTCCCAGTAAATGTGGAATATTCACTGTAATTCTAGCTGTGTGTTTGGTCTCTAGCTCAATAGTGAAGAATGCAATTCTCTAGCTGCTAAAGCGATTGAGCTGTTGCTAAGCTATTTGCAAACTTCACTAGTTGTTTGGTGCTGGACTTAAAGCATACAGATGTTGTTTTGTTTTGTTCTGTTTCCTGAAAACAGTCACTGTAAGCTTGGTTGGAATTGATGTTCATTAAGATAAAGGACAGTCAACTAAAAAGGCCTTCAAATGAAGCTGAAGAGACATTTGAAGCTACAGTAGCTTGAGAGATTGCCGATTTAGCCAGTATTCTCTTGGTGTCTTGTACCACCAGCCACCAAAATTTGAAAGAAACTTTAATTTTTTTGAATTTTAACAATGTTGGTAGGTGTATTTTTCAATTGGCTTATCCTGTTGCAGTCTTTATGCAAAGCCTCAGTTATAAACTGTGTTTCTGAAGTTTTTCTCCATTGTATTCTTTGTTTCCCAAAGAAAACCAAAACAAACCATAACATTAGCAACAGAGCGAAAATAAGCAACTTGCTAAACCCAGTGTCTTATTTGTTTTCTTTCCTGTTTTCCCTCTACAGTTCTCACTGTGTTGTAGTTGCATGAGAAGAAACGCTTAAATCCATTGTGTACTTCTGTGTGAAATCAGACCTCATGACAGCAGAGCACATTTGCACTGTGTTAACACCCGCGTGTGAGGAAAACATCTGCCCCCCACTCAAAGTTTACTCAAGTTCTCTGTTGTGGAAAAAAAAAAAAAAATGCTAGTACATCAGGTCACCACAAGAGGGCAATAACGTCCAAATGTACACTATCAGGCAGTTTGGCGGGTAAAATGGAACTCCAAATCCTCGCCACAGACAATTATGTTTCCAACAAAAATAAACCATTCCTGCCTGGAATGCTGAAGCAGAAACCATCCCTGTGTCTCTGTCTTTTGCAGACACAAGAGCTCAGAGTTCTGCACTCAGTCTTTCTGTGCTTCTGCTTGTACTGTTTGAGATTATGTGTCAAATGGCAGTAAAACAGTCCCCTTTTTTTTTTACAGGGTTTCCTCCCCTCGGCAGCCATCGTAAATCCACTTCTCTCGCTGGAGTTTTGCGTCTGCATCTTTGTGTTGTTTAAAGCTCTAGTCCGGTTTTTCTCACACAATGTAAAGTATATCCGTCCTGTAAGAACTGAAGTACTTTATTTAGAGAGAGAAAGCTTGATGAGAGATGGGAGAATGCACCATGAGCAGAGGGGGTGGGGTGATCTGGCTGTGGCAGTCTATATGTGTGGATGTATACCATATGTGTTCACAATCAGCATGTTTCAGCTTACATTATGCGGCGTGTGCCAAAAAGTGGGGATGTTGTTATTATTAATCTGCTGACTGAGGGGGAAAACACAGTCATTTATTAACAGCAGAACAGGGAAGCAGACAATGAAAACTTTTACAAAATTTGCAGACTGCAGAACTTTTTCCCAGTAGTTTTGCAAGTTTCAACACTTGCAGCTGGCAAGAGATCAAACGCTAAAACACCTCTCTGTAATCTTGCCTCCCTCAGAGTAGCTTGTTATAAAGACACACACACTTCCTGTTTCTCCAAAGCACCGGATGCTGCCTACCAGCCACCGCGACATTTGGCTGGGTGTCTGTCCGCTTATGGTATGCTTTTGTGAGAAATATTTGGCCCCAGTGTCTACATCTGTGTGCTTAAGAGTGGATGTTTATTTGTATGCAAAAGGATGAGCAAGGGAGATGAAAGAAATTATGTTTGAAAATAAACTGTTATTATCTGTGGTTGTGTGTACATGTGTGTATGTGTGTTCTTATCTGTCTGGAGCCTCGGGGCAACTGTTGGGGGGGGGGAGCCTGCTGCTTGTATCCCTGCTGCGCTGCAGTCTGCTCATAAAGAAGAAGAAGAGGGGCAGTGTTGAAAGAAGTGAGGGCCATGTGGAGGGCTTCATTCAATGAAAGTACAATGCTCATGAGTGTGCTCAACAGAGTGATGTGCTGTAAGTGGACATAACCTCGTGGAGGTTTAGGTTCATAGTGCAAAATGTTATTCACTGTCAATAGTAAATGTGTTTTTTTTTTTCCAGCAAAAAATGAAATAACTTAAGACTTAGTTTAGAAATCCAATAAAAATACGTTCTTAATTATGGGGGACTTTTTTCACATTCTATAAATACTTATCTGCAGTGTTTGTTTGTCACGATGCTGCTTTCTTGACTGTAACTCAGTCAAAAAGTTGTTAAATCAGAGGCAGAATTACAAATAATTACTAAATGAAGAAACCACATAGGGACTTGGGATGAGATGTCCATGCGTGACAAGTAACTGTAAGCAAAAGTACAGCTCATGGAGTAAATGAGAACGTCACTGAGTTTGATTTAGCTTGTGGTTGGCTCTAACCTACGACCTAAAATAAGTGGCTCCAGTTTTCCCCCACACAGTCAGAAAGGCTGCAGAGGACTGAGAGGCTGTCGGCCTTGGCAGAGAAACTCTGCTGTACTAGATGGTTTTCTGCCAGTGACCTTGTTTCAAGTGACTTTGTTATGTTGAAGGTAAAAGAGAAGTGCTGTTTTTTATATGTTCAGTCTGATTTTGTGCAAGGGCACTTGAACACTTTTTGATATCTACTCTTAAAGGTTGAACTATCTGTGTATATTTTAAATCTCGATGTCAATGATTTCATTTTAGTACCTGTACGATGATCATTTTAATTCCATACAGAATGTGTACCTTGTGTTTAATCTGC